GAAAAAGTTGATGATCGTAAAATGGTTTCCATTCTTTTAGAAATGTCTATATTTGACAAAAGTCAATATCAGCTAGGGCAAGAACTGCGTATGATGATTTCGATATCTGAAAATTATATTATTTTAAAAAATTCATTTTACACTTTTTTCTGAAAAATACTTGTGCCTGCGCTTAGGCCATCTTGAGTTATTTATAGCAAATGCAACACACATTGGTACTATCTAGAACCATAATGAGAAACATGCGATTAGATAATTTTGCAGAGAAATAGCACCTGGGAGTGTCTACCTCAAGCTTGTCTAGATTTCTTTGTATGTAATGGATTTCATGTATTTAGACAAATAGTGGCTGTATTTTTAGCTACATACGAGACGTTTTTCACAAAGATTATACGCTCATCTTATAGAGAATTTTGTATTCTACAACATAGAGGTCGACTTAGTAAATGTTCTTCTTGATTCAACGAATCAAAGATACAGTCCTGCAGCCAAAAAACTAGATAGGTTGACTAAGTGAACCAACGGATGTCAACTGGGTATGACTATACCCAGGTGACATCCGTTGGTTCAGACGTCCGTGGCGGATGAGTGTTTAGCACCGAAGTGAACTGAACACCTTTTTCTAAATCAGTTTTCAACGGTGATTCAGAAAAATATAGTTGGAACGTGCCAACTTATGATACAACCTAAAAATATCTATTTTACGTCAGAAACGTCAGAAAGACATAAAAACTACATATTCTTATACAGTATGAAGTCCTCTTTCGAATGCTATACGATAAATTGAAAAATAAATTTCATTTTAAGTTTGCATTACCTGTATCTTATTTACACAGATAAATCAAGGTTTTGTAGACTAATTTTCGATGCATTTTGAAATAAGTTATCTAACTATTTAAATTAAGTTCTGATCATTCATACTGTAAAAATTATTTCTTTACAGATATTTTGCTCGAATGCAAACATATTCCACATTTACTTGTGGCTGAAAAACATTAAACTCGATTTCTCTCGAAAACAAAACGTTTTTGGACAAAAGAGTGGAGTACTAAGGGTTTTTGATCTTGTGTAGAATCTCGTTTTCTACACGGCTTAAAAATCTGTGATGCAGTTTCAATATAGAGCAGCACTTTTGGTTTCTGGAGCTGTCCATCTGTCTAGCAGAGAAGAACTTTTGGACATGCTAGGCTGGACTGACATACTAAAACTCTTTGATATTCACAAGCTGACTTTTTTTGCAAAATTATTGAAGGGTAGTCAACGCAGTATTTACAGTCTCATGTTCGACGGCGGGATGCAATACCGCACTAGAGCTGATCACCTGCATTTTTTATGATAGAACGAAAAAACAGAAACGTTTGACTTATTTGCGTGGGAATGAATTATTATCCTGCCTATAAAAGACTAACGGCACAAAAAAATGAACAAAATGTGCGTCATCTTTATCTTCATCATCTTCATCTTTCTCGTCTCGTGATCACTGTATATTCATTTCAAACGGAATGAATGTTCTTTTTTTCTAAAGACTGAACTGAATCCACAAAACATCGCCACGGCCATGAAGGGATTGTCTGAATGAAAAATCCTTTTCTGCAGAATCACATTCCACATCCCGCTTTGTTTCTCTAATCAAGAAGAAATTGTACAACGATCGGTTAAAATATATAAAAAAAATAAAAGTTTCTCGTACGTCATTTCAATATGACACGAAGATAATGCGAAAATCCTTTTCTTTCCTTCCGCATAGACTACCTAATGTCACATCTGTATTCCTGTATGTACATAAAAAAGATGTGCTATACGCTAAGGCTCTATTACGTACAATAGAGCTCTACCGTTTAGTGTATCTTTATCTGTTTTTTGATGTCGCATGCAGATCTCTGTATGTCAGACATGAGGATACATACAAAAAGAAAGGGTGATCTGCATGCGACATCAAGAAAAAGATAAAGATACGCTAAAAGAGAAAACTCTAATAAGAGCGAAATTCCTTGTTTTTTCTTTATTCTATATTTTTCGTTCAGTTTAATTTAAACTTTATTCATTTACAAAAGAAACTGTTAGTTAGTTTCTTTTCGTTAAGAGATCGTTCTGACCTTCAGTGTGATCAATATTTCTCTTAGTCTCCTCTCTCTTTTTGTTCTCCACATAAAAGCGTCTTTCCCTGCAGTGAATGCAGGTGAAATCTCCTCCCCTGCAGGGAGTGTAGGAAGGAACATACTTTTCTTTATCTGCTGGCCGTCAGTGGAAAATTTTTTCGTTCACCTGCAAACTGCAACCTGCCTGCACTACCGCTTGCAGGCAGTTTAAGATGCAGGTGATCAGCTCTGTACCGCACACCTTACGTAGGCGTGGTACGTTCAGAACCATTACACTTGATTCCGTTTTGGCGGACAGATCATTCTTTTCTTACATCATCCAGCTATGATCTGCACTGCCCGAAAACATTCGAAAAACTACTCCTAAAAGTTTCAAGAAAGACATTCTAGTTCATTAGGGATACGTTTTCCCTTTTTTATCGTGTCTATAATATTTCCAGAGGAGTTGATATTATATACCGTAGACTGCTAACAAATTTTTCTGCTTTGAATTCTGATTTATTTGCTAAGTCGCTTTAATCATTTGACCTGTGCAACTGTGGTGACAAGGAAACAATTCAACACTATCTATTGGTGTGTGTTATATCGTGCTTATCGAAAAGTATTTTCAGAAAGATCTTAAACATAGAGTCTGCCCAAACCCTAATCTTTTACTACCGTGAGTATTTCTTTCGAAAGGAGACTACATAACAATTTATCGAGCTGTCATCGAATTTATCTGTTCAAGTCACCGTTTCAACGAAGATAGTTAAACATTTATTTCTGTTTTATAATCTGGCTCACTTTGTTCTATTTCATTCTTCCGTTATTTTCTTTTTTAATAAATGTGTGTTAGTATGAGAGTGGGTGAACTTTGGAGTGACAGTGTGAGTTCCTGTTTATTGTGTGTGATACCTGTGTACATATCTTCCTGTATTAGTTAGAACTACTTTTCTAGTTTGTTATTTTCTTTTTTGCGCAAAAATAATAATGGGAATATAAAATCCCTCTTTCTCTGTAAAATTGAGATTCTCTTCTTTGTATTTTATTAATAAAATAACTTAGACAAAACAATATTGAAAATCGGGATAATCTTCGAATACCTGTGAAATGAGCAACAAGAAAAGTTATTTTTAACAATGCTGTTGTGACTGTTGTTAATACAATTTATCAGTCAAACGATCTTTCACTAGTTGATTGGTTTTACTCCTCTTGTTTATATGGCTGAAATCATAGTGATTATATTTCTCCTCTTGATTTGTCCAGTGTTTATAATACAGTTTTGATATTCAACATTCTTCACCAGATAATCGTACATTTTTTGATTTGTTATTAAGGTGCCGCTAATTTGAAATCATAGCAAGATTTTTTTCATTTTTTTTCTTACCTGGTTGGAAAGAGGGTATGCGAGTGACTATAAAAAAGATTCAACACAGTGATATACACCTTTTTTGGGCAAAACGGATGTACTTTGAAAAATATGCCAAAATTTTATTTTTCATGTTTTTTAGTCATCTAAACTAGTTTTTTCTTATTCGTCGTGTGAAACCGACTATAGAAAACCGTATTAAATTATAACAACTCGGTACTATAATAGTCGGTCTCACACAACGAATAAGAAAAAACTAATTTGGATGACTAAAAAACACGAAAAAATAAAATTTCGGCATATTTTTCAAAGTACAACCATTTTGCCCAAAAAAGGTGTGTGTCACTATTTTGAATTTTTTTTTACCAAAAGGACTTTTTTAAAAATTAAAAACTATTTTTTTATAGTCTCTCGCCTATCCTCTTTCCAACCATGTAAGATAAAAACGAAAAAAAAATCTTGCTATGATTTCGGATTATCGGCACCTTACGGTCATGTTTACTCAACAATTGTCATTTAATGTCGTATTATCTTCAAATGACGGTGTTCAGATAAAGAAGCCTGTAGATGCACACACAACGTCATGAATAGGCTCAACACAACTTTGCGACTCTTGTAGTACTTTCGATCAGGGTACCCTTAAGAGGAAAGGCCTCCGACTGTCAAATCACTTTTGACGTAAAACTTAGTGGACAATGGGTAACCGAGCATGCTGATCCCGAATATGACGATGGTTTTGCCAATGCGTCTTTGGAGACCCCGGTTTTTGAAAAACTGGGTTTTCGCAATGAAAAACTTTTTTGATCAAAACTTTTTTTTGATTCGTACAAATGAAAGGGCATGCTCTAAAACCTACGCAAAACTATTTTTTAAGGTTTTGAATAGTTTTTAAAGGGTCAAAACTTAATACTACAGCCGAAAAACAGCTTTTTATGTTCAAACTTTTAGTTTTGCACGCTTCCAAAACCTTAAAAAATAGTTTTGCGTAGGTTTTAGAGCATTCGCTTTCATTTGTACGAATCAAAAAAAGTTTTGATCAAAAAAGTTTTTCATTGCGAAAACCCAGTTTTTCAAAAAACGGGGTCTCCAAAGACGCATTAGCAAAAACCATCGTCATATTCGGAATCAGCATGCTCGGTTACCCATTGTCCACTAAGTTTTACGTCAAAAGCGATTTGACAGTCGTGGGCCTTCCCTCGTTAGCTCTATTTCAAATTTTGATATCAAGTGACTTTCTGATATTTAACTAGAAGGTCTACGAATTTCACGACAGCATCTGTATTATGCTTGCTCTAAAAAGTCCTCGGGTTAGTGTCATATTTCGGCATAGCCGGATGATTGCGTTCGACGTAGCTCGCATTCGACGCTTGTTAAATTAGAAGTGAATACAGATGCGTCAGTTTCTTTAAAGGTATGTGCAAGTGCATCGTGTGAAGGATTATTGGAATGTCAGTGAAAATTACTCACTGTATGTGAATCAAAGCAGCTGACACTGTTATTCTATCACGAAAAATGAAATAAAAGGATTATTTTACTCTAGCGAAACACAGAAAATGATGTGGACGCTTTTTCTTTTTCTGCTGGTTAATCAAGTCAACGGGCATCCAACAGATGGTCTTGCTCAGACGCTGAAGGAAGAATTTGATTCTACATTGAACACGACACTGTGGAATTATGGTTACCCGTGGGGTACATACTACAACAATCGTGCAAATATGGTACCTAGACAAGTGAAAATTATCGAGCAAAAGGTCGAGTTGAAAGCAACTGCAGAACGAAGCATCAATGTCGGCATTTCAAATGAGTACGGAACGTTCGATGTTGATTTCTCATCTGGCACAATCAACACAAACGGAAAATTTTGTTATACGAACGGCTACATCGAACTTCTCACGCGCGTTTCTTCAGTTCCCAGCAGTTGGTCGACAATATTTCTCGTTGCACAAGATCAGACGCTACCCGAAATAACGGTCATGGAAGTCTTTGACAATCATAAACGATTTGCGTACGGTATCCATTACACTTCTGAAGAGGGAAATGCGCAGGTGATGGGTGGTCGATCAGGCGAATACAACGACAATCTGGGTTCCGATTTTCATCGATACGGTGTGGATTTTGGATACGACCAGATAACGTGGTATTTCGATGACCAAATTGTTAATTCATTCACCATTCCGAAGGAGTTGGAACAAGTGAAAGATATGTGCTTGGTAGTAAGCTTGGGCGTCGGGGGAAAATCTCAAACTCGACCAGATCCAAAAACATATCCGCTGACGATGACCATTGACTCTGTTCAAGTATGGCAACCGAAGTACGATGGATTTTATAAATTCATCAACGTTAACAGTAATCTTTTGTTGGAAATCGACGGTGCTTCGCATGATAACAGTGCAAGAGTGCTTCAATGGCACGATAATGGAGGGGCGTGGCAAGTGAGTGTAATTGTACTCCTGATACGAAACAGAATATCTTGTGTTTTAGATCTGGCATGTACAATATGCGGGAAATGGCCAATATCGTCTCATTGTTTCTCACAGTCGTCAAGCGTTAGATGCTTTTGACTGGGGCCAAGATGACGGCACAAACCTGATTCAATTTCCGTATCATGTCGGAAATAATCAGCTGTGGAAGGTTCATGAAAACGATGATGGAACAATCACATTAATCAATGTTCACGCAAATAAAGTGGCCGGACTGGCAGGTGCCTCGACTAATCCAGGTGATCAAGTGAGCTTGTGGACGAGTAATGGTCAGCCAGATCAGAAATGGAAAATGGTTCAAGTATGAAGGCATCAAATAGTTACACTTTTGTGATGGGAACGCTATACATGTCTTTGCTTGTTTGAAGCATAACTCAAGAGGCACTTATATTTTTTCTTGACATTTTCATTTCATAAACTTTATTTCAAAAACTCATACATTTTAATAGTATTAAGCAATTTTACTCTTAAAGTTCAATTGTTTGTTCGTACTTACCTGTTCTGAATGTGTAAATCATATCACCAACAGCCACTATCGAGGGGTATCAAGACAAAAAGAGATTTGATAATTTTGACAAAAGAGACCTGTGTAAGCAAACGATGTTCATCAATGTCATTTATTTCGTCGGCATATATTGTTAAATGTAATCATAATAAGAATAAACTTCTGAATTCTATTAAAATCATTAACACTCAGGTGGAAGACGTCTTACAAGATCTTCTAAGATCTGATGATTCCTTATGCAATCTGCTACAAGATCTTCTAAGATCTTATCCCAAGATCCTGTATGATCTTGCAGAATCTTGTAAATTCTTGCTGTAAGATCTTACAAGATCAGTTTATAAGAAATCTTAAGATCTTATAGGATCTTGTAACAAGAAGTTATATGATCTTGCAAGATCTTGTCAGTTCTTATCACAAGATCATACGATTTCTGGTTACAAGATCTTACAAGAAGTGATGACTCATTCTTACCACATAAATTTTTCAGCGATATATAGTATATATAAACCATAGTTCTTATGACGAAACTTAGAATTTTTTCTTTCTCCAACTGCGTACATCAGCTGAGCATAAATAACGTGCATGGCTATAAGAAACGTAGTTCGACACGTTCCTACGGACGTCAGAGCCCTTTCTATGTTCGAAAATATTATGAAAAGAAAAAAGCTGTTTTTTAAAGAGGATCTGTAGAAGATCTATACAACAGAATCAGAGACATAATCTTGTAAGATATGATGCATTCTTATATGATCTTATGAAATCTTTCAAGATCTTATACAAGATCTTGCAAGATCTTCCTGTAAGAAAAATCTTGTGGAATCTTACAAGATTCTTGAACCAAGATTCTTGTAAGATCTTGTAAGATTTTTATATGATCTTGTGAAATCTTGTGGTATCCTGTAATACGATCGCACAAGATCTTGTATGAACTTACAAAATCATATTTCAAGATTCTTCGCCCTGGGCACACATGTTTGCCACTCTAAAAATGAAAACATTAGACATAAATAGTTTACAGTCGTGTTTCTAATAAAAGAGCAATCTGATTTACATTAACCTGAGTTATATAAATTTTTTGGATAATTGGTTATTTGAACATTAGTCATACGATCATTCGTTCTTATATCTACGATGGGCACATCTAAAAATAGCCAAAATGACCGATATATTACAGCAACAATTTATCCACTTCACTGTAAAATGTACGACATTCGATATCTGGATACTCAAAACTTTCCCCCGGTAAACTTAATTTTAGAGAATACATTAATTGTAAGTATCCCATGTTATCATGAAATCGATTGTTACGATATTAAAATAACAAACAAACAAATGTATTTGTATTAAAAATCCATTTGAATCTTATGAGATTTCTATGCAAATATTTTCAACTTTTGACCATATTATAATTAATGGTAATATTAGGATTCCTAATGACCAAGAAATCGCTCACTTGATTCTCTCTACTAAACATTTACGAGATAATTTTATTAAAAGGTTTTCGTATAAACATATACCTATTATGGATCTACATGATGATATTGGTTATAATCATAGACATTATACTACTTGTGATTATTCTAACTTTACTAAGAATAATCATTTATTTACATTTGAAAAGCCGACATTCAGAATCATCCTCACTCATATGGAATGTCTTTTGTAAAAATCATCCACTAAAGACCAAGAATCGGTTGCTATTGGTACCGATCATAAGACACATGTTTTGCTTAAAAGCAAAACAGACAAAAGTAAACCACTAATCATTTCTGATTATATTACGATAAAAATGAAAAATGATGAACATGTGCAAAAAAACTCAAGCGTATCAATTATTAGATTTTAATTGACTAATATACTTTTTTTGCCAAGTAAAACTACGTAAATGCGAAGTTAATTTTTGCTAAGTAAAATTTGTATCTGCTCCGTAAATAATTTGAATGTTTAATAAAATTATTGGATACTCAATCAATTTAATTTTTCTCAACAATTAAAATTTTTGCTAAGTTTGATAAGTAAACCTCCTTTCCATATAGAAGGTCAGTCTGAAGAGAAAAGTTTTGAAAAACGCCCTATGGCAGTTTTTCACCAAAAAAAGTGCGATGTGCGAAACCAGAAGGTCACGGCCTTCTATTCTAGGGAGAGGGAGGAGTGGAGGTAATATATAAGTCAAATATTTAATTATTAAGTTGATAAACTAACAAATGTGTTTTTTGTTTGTTTATCAAAATATAAATGGAATATTCTGCTTAGACTAGAAATTTTTTTAAATTAAAATTTAAATAAAACACTTAGAAAAAAAATATTTTTACTTAGCATTTAAACGAGAGCCATTTTAATTCGGTTAATCTTTTAATGAACAAAACAAGGACCTTTTTACGAAGATTATTCTATGGGAGAATAATCCCGGAGCATTATACACTAAATTATTACCGAATTATGGTTCGACATTTCTACTGCATCTGTATTTCCTATGTAAAGATTATAAACCAAATATTCTGCCAGACCCATTTTATCTACTACCACAGATCCAACTGTTCTGATTTCACGACTTTCAGACTTATTATTGAGAGGGATCTTTAATCAGATTTAGATGGATTCTAATACATTAGTCTCTACATTACATCAGTATTCACAAGATCGAATGGACATTGGCACTTGGTTTATTACATTTGATGTAACAGACTTACTATGTATACTATGATCCCTCTAGAAGAGACATTAAATAGGATCTGAAGGACGTTACTTATGGATAATAAACCAATAAAATACAATTTAACGGTCGATACTGTGATTAACTTTGTTGATTCATATGATTTAATAATTACTGTACGTTGAATGATCAATTTTATTTACAAATTAGAGGCGGAGTCATGGGCTCTCCTCTCACTTTGGCAGCAGGGCACGTGCACACACCTTCACCCATTTATACAGAACTTTTATCTGACAAAATCTCACTATGCTTGTCTTGTAGAGCTCTTCTAGTTTTGTGTAAATTCACCTTCTATTCTCTTAGATTCTATGTGGAACATGTCAGGGCTGGGCAACTCCGCTAACTTTCAACTCCAACTCCGTTTTCAAATTTCCAATTCCGCTCAAAATTTTTCAACTCCAACTCCCTCAAAAAAATCTCAACTCCCGTTCAAGTCCGATTGCTTCACTTTTGTAAGGAAGATTTTCCGGTTTTTAGCAGGATTCTGGACGTTTTTAAGCTTTTCCCGGCAGGAAAGCGCAAAGCACTTTCGAATTCACCCGTGAATACAGCCACTCAATGGTTTAGAAGATCAGTTTACAACTATTGAATATTTCCAAAAATCAAAAATGGAGTTGAGACTAAAAATTTAAAAACCCAACTCCAACCTACTAAAATCTCAACTCCAACTCCGCCAAGGTCAACCCCAACTCCAACTCCATCAAAAAAATCCTCAGCTTCGGAGTTGGAGTTGCCCAGCCCTGGAACTTGTTGAAAAAGTGGTCAGAAAAGTCTTTTTTTGCCTTTAGGAGGTCTAGGAGAGCCTGTTTTTTATTTTAACCATTGATGTTAATATTTTTCTGACGGTACCAACGGACAGAGTGTAAAAGGTTATATATTAACATTTGCAAATTAGGTTTTCACCTTTGATGAGTAGATATATAAGCATAAGAAAAGTAGAGATAAAAACTCAGTTTTTCCATTTTTCTCCGAAACGAAAAGGTTTTGAAGTTTTTTCTTCTGACCTTCTGAGCTATTTTTTGGCTATTTTCAAGTTTGGTTTTGATTAAGTCCCTACTGCAAAAAAATGCTCGAGAAGCGTGACGGGACACTTTTCCTTTTTTCGTCACCATGCGTCTTCAGACCCGGTAAATCAAAACAAAAAACTTACTGTAGCCCAAACAAAGTTAGTTTTGTGTAATTTTTTAGTACTAACATTAGTATTTTTAGTTTTTTATTAGTACTCTTGCATATTTTTGATAAAAAGTGTCTTCAAATTGCTTATTCAAAAACGTGATTTTTACAAAATCTGGAAAAAAATAACTCACGTAGGCGACAACTATTGATGCAAAAAGCTTTCTAACAGAGTTGAAAGATAGACCTATTTAAGCGATACAAAATGACTATTTAGTTTTTGTCGGCTGTTCGAAGTTCCAACGACTAAAGTCAAAAAGACTGTTTTTTATGTGTGAAAGTGGGGCATTTGGAGCTTCAAAATATTATTTGTCCAATTTTTCTCCTTCAAGTGCAGAATTTTTTATATACTGTTGTGGACAATTGCACAGCGAATATTTAAAAAAAAGTTGAAGTTTGAGCAATGAGAATTGATCGAAATATTAAGGAAATATTGAGACCACCATTCATTCTGAGTCACTTGTTAGAATAACACGAGCCTCTTCTTTTGAAATGACTGTGTTTCTTTGAGATGCGCTGATTCTATAACAGTGAATGTTGACTGTTTATTCTTGTTCTCTCTTTCCTCTTCTCTTTCTGTGTTTCTATCTCTTTCATGCACTCACTCGTCATCATCGTGTACCTTTCTTTTCTGTGTGCAAGTCGCGCGTTCCTGTGTTATTTTTGTCCGCCCCAATATTTAACTTTTTCCTTTGATTCAGGTAAGTAGTTGAGTGTGACAAACAATACGAAATAAAAAAGACGGAGTGCATCAGTCGTGACTGTGTGCAGATGCTCATAGTGGTACTTATCTGTGATAAGATTGATTTTGAAGGAACACAGCCTACAATTCTGATAATCTTTAGATGAATATATCTCTCCTTCTTCCTCATCCCAATTATCCAAGCTTATCACTATCACCGGTGGTTATTGATGA